CCCCTGTGTGGGTTCGGGGGCCCTACTATGGGGAAAACAAGAATAGACCCACTGCCTACCAAAAAGCATGTCGTAAGAGTCAACTAATTGGGAGCTTCCTTCAAAGTCGGAGTGCATCTGCCTGAGAGGCAAGAAACCAACAGTCTGCATACAGATCTGTCAAACAGGTGCACACGCAACACTCAGGTTCTGGAACAGGACTGCAGTCCAGAAATGGGTGAACAACCAGAACTTTCGCCGGAGTTCACAGCCGGTAAGCGCGAAGAAGAAGAAGATTTAACTTATCCTCTCTGTTAATTAATAAATGCAGTTTCAAAAGTTTTTCATGCGTTTATTTTTTACATTATGATACAGCTAAATAATTTTTTTTAATAGACTTCATTTTTCTGATGATGTTCATAATTGTTAAGCTTCTTGAAAATAATTTTTGTTTTTATTAAGTTGCAAATGTACTTTGGTGTTCCAGAAGTGGCACTTTGCATATTTATCATAAGATATCCCAGTCTAATTTTATGCAGAAAGAATGTGTTTTTACTTCACAACTGGGCATTCATTTTTTAATGTGAAGTGTATAACTTTTATTGTGATTGTAATCATTTTACTGTTTGGATCTTAGTATGAGAGCTGTTTTAGTTAAGTCGCAAACATATCCAACCTTTCAGGGAAAGTTTTTTTTTTTCTTTAAAAGACCAATCTTCCAGGTTGATCGGATCCAAAATTTGTACCAGGAAATGTCCTGGGTTGTAAATATGGTCAGTGCAGCTGTCGCCCACAGAGCGTTCATTGGATAAATGTTCATCATACCTTTATCTATTTTTTTTCCCTCCTAATCTTAGGTTTTCATATTTTTGTTTTCTTCGTTTTTCAAAATCTTTGTTGATATTTTATCCCTGCAGCTCTTCTTGCTCCTGTTTTTTTTCCACACTCCCGATCTGTACGGCACTGCTGATAATTTGTTTCAGTTCATGATTCCTGTTGTTTTATTTGCCAGTAATGACTTTGGTGGAAGTGTTCAGCTGCATGTGTGTATGACTTGTCCTTTCCCGCCTCTGAACTTCCTAATTAACACCTCTTGTAACTTATTTTGTTTTAACCCTGTCACCCTCAGAAGACTAAATCTGGCCACTTCTGGTAGTGAGACAGTCTATTAAATGCTGTAGTTCTGGAGGAGGTAAAAGTGGTCGCGTGTTAGTATAAATCTTGGTTGGAAATGTGTTAATTCTATGCATCCAATTTTTTGATTATTATAAATCTTCCAACTTCTATGGATTGTTTAATCTTCAAGTCTAAGCAACGCGGAGACCATATGCTTGCCTATAAGCCCTTAGGTTATGGGTTCAGTCTACATTGAAGCAGATTTAACCCTTTTGCCTAAGATTTTTTTTAAAGATTAAGGGGGGGGGCTAACTTGACCCGTGGGTATTTCAGATTTAATTGTAATTTTTTAAAAAGTACCTAATAAATTGTTTACAAATTTTATTGATGACATTTTCAGTTTTGAAAAAAATAAAGAAATATACATTTTTTGATCAATAAACGAAAACAGAATGAAGCATTCAATTAAATACATTTCCTGGGTCCAATAATAAATGTAAATATGGTATCTCATGCAGTGACCCCATGACCTATATCACTGCGGCTTACACAAAAATTTAAGTCAACCTAACCGTACTTTTTTTTTTTTTTAAGTATTGGGGTCACAAGGGAACACCTTAATGCAATACTTTTTTAACATTTTCGCGTCCAGACCTCCTAAACACTACAGTGGCACAATTAAAACCAACGGCATTTAGCCACGCTGGGTTTTTTTTTAAATATATATAGAAGAGGTCACTACAGAAATGGTCATATATCGACTTTATGGGGCTGTTTCACAACCATATGTGACTCAAATGAGCTTTCTTATGGCAAATAATTAACCCAAGGGCTCCCCGGCTCACCTAGCCTTAACTAGGTTCCAGGAAATGTACTGGGAAATCAAGGCTGAGATGACCAATGTGCTGTTGATCACATCACGTATTGAATGTTGACTGGCCTGTTAATATGAGCATAGCACCATATGCCTGATCAACCAGTGGCGTGGAACGTACCCGTAATTTAACTTTACTTTATATATAGATCATATTTTCTGTTACTTTTATTTTGCTATCAATTATTCTGCTTTAACTATTACATGATTTTTTTTTTTTGGGGTGGGGGGCAATTAGTTTTGTACATTTAAATTTAAGTTGTGATCTGCATTCAATAATTATGCTTTGTAAATATATTTAATACCTTGCATCAACAACAACAAAAAGAATATATACAGATTTACAAACTGGTTTTCATCGGTTTTCTTTTATTGCAATTATTTACTATATTGATTGAATGAGAACAACAAAAGTGATGCAAGTATGTGAGATTATACAATGAATTAGTGAGAGTAATGTTTAAAGTTTTATTCGTACTGCCAGTGTTGTTCGGCTATGGATGAATATCTCCATACGTTGTTTCTTTAAAACAATGTTTACGCATTGTGAATTATACAAATTAAGGGCACAAACAATGCACGGGCACAAAAATATAATTTGTAGAAAGTGAAAAAAAAAAATTTTTTTAATGTCCTGCCATATTTTGCTGTATCTCCTGCGTTACTATAGTTACATTATAAACAATGTCCTGGCATACCTTCTTCATGCTTACTAGCTGCAAACTCTGCGGGAAAGTTTTGTTTGTTCGTCCAATTCTGGAATTAAATCTTGTTCCAGAATTTGAGTTTTTGCATGTACCTCTCAGTTAGTTTTTCTGTCGGGAAAGGGGGGGGGGGGGGGGGCATATTTAAACGTCCTAACCTGCACAGTCGGTGGTGACAGCACTTGATGTGTGGCCCTAAATTCTCAAGCTCACGACACCCTTGTCTTACACCACCTTAAAAAGTGTTACATATAGACAGTAGTGACAGTTGACCTCTAAGGTAGATGCACTCCAACATAGAAAACATTTCTAACTGGTATACTTTTATTTTTTATGCTTTGCTTGTTGCGTTGCAAGGTGGGCAGTGGGTCTCTTCTCTTTTCCCCTAAAATGGGACCCTAGAACACATACTGGGAATCTGCACAAGTCAAAAATCTGGTAACTCTATACCTCAGAAATGGATATTCTGTATCAAATGATATCCACAACTCAGATGATGATTGCATTTTATGTTTGGGCACAAAAATGACATCAGAAGAAGCTTGATCAGCTTTTGTTTTTCATAATGATCAAGTGCTCATGATCTCATATCTTTTAAGTAGGGATTGCTGATCCAAAGGTTGCCCTTATGTGGACTGTCATTTTCAAGGGAAACAGTCATCATGCTTTTCTGTTGTATGCAGTTAAATGGGGTGTCCAGGATCTGTACGTGTGTCTAGGATCTGTGCATATATCCAGGATCTGTACATGTTTCTAGGATCTGTACATATGTCCTGGATCTGTACATGTGTCCAGGATCTGTATGTATGTCCAGGATCTGTATGTGTGTCCAGGATCTATTCATGTGTCTAGGATCTGTTCATGTGTCCAGGATCTGTACATGTGTCCACGATCTGTACATGTGTCCAGGATCTGTGCATGTGTCCAGGATCTGTACATGTGTCCAGAATTTGTACATGTGTCCAGGATCTGTGCATGTGTCCAGGATCTGTACATGTGTCCAGGATCTGTACATGTGTCCAGGATCTGTACATGTGTCCAGGATCTGTACATGTGTCCAGGATTTTTACATGTGTCCAGGATCTGTACATGTGTCCAGGATCTGTGCATGTGTCCAGGATTTGTGCATGTGTCTAAGATCTGTGCATGTTTTATTCTCATCAAAAGTGTTGATTCTAGAGACTGTAAGGTGATGAAGTACAAATCTTTGGTGGCCCACCTGGACTTGCCCACAGGTTGAAAAACACTGTTTTAGACCCCTGTTTTGATACATGGAGCTTTAGACCAGTGTCTTGATACCTGGAACTTTAGATCACTGTGTTGATACATGGAACTTTAGACCACTAATTTTATACATGAAACATTAGACCACTGTGCTCAAATGTGAAACTTCAGACCACTGTGTTCAAATATGGAACTTTAGACCACTGTGTTCAAATGTGAAACGTCAGACCACAGTGTTGATACATGGAACTTTAGACCACTGTGTTGATACATGGAACTTTAGACCACAGTGTTGATACATGGAACTTTAGACCACTGTGTTGATACATGGAACTTTAGACCACAGTGTTGATACATGAAACTTTATACCACTGTGTTGATACATGGAACTTTAGACCACTGTGTTGATACATGGAACTTAAGACCACTGTGTTGATACATGGAACTTTAGGCCACAGTGTTGATACATGGAACTTTAGACCACTATGTTCAACCATGGAACTTAAGACCACTATGTTCAGACATGGAACTTGAAACCACTGCGTTCAGACATGGAACTTTAGAACATAGGTGAACTAATCATTTTTCAAGTTTCTGTGACTGGGTAAAGTCTAAAAATTATGAAGTTCACTGGTCAATTCTGTGAGCTTTAAATTTTTCAATTTGTAGAAATGGATTTATAATCAACAGTATCCAGGAAAAAGTCTAAAAATCGCTTCTTCTTTTTTTTTTTCCTGTGCTTTGTCGACTGTTATAATGGGGTCTTGTGAGTAATTTATGTACTTTCACTTTCTTTCACTTTCTGTGTGCTTCTCTCTTTAAAGGAAAGATGGCATTTAATGTTGTGGTAGCTAGTTTACAATATCTGCAATTTTCCAACACATCCAATTTCAGCAAGCTCTTCTATAGTTCACATTTATTAAATGCTTATTAAGGAGTAGTAGGTCTGCCTCCCAAATTAGTTTCTGAGAACCCACAGAGTTTTTCTTCTAATAAGTTTGTGTTTTCATTGAGATGGATAGTTCAACCAAATAAACAAGTTCTTTTCTAAAGTTAAAAATCACAATAAATGTCTTATTTCTGAATTTTTTCCTTATTTCAAGATTCCCACTGGCACGACCAACGAGGCCCTGGACACTTCCTACGATTCCAGAGATTCTGTTTCCAAAGGGCCTCCTCGCTATGCTAATGCTGAATCTGATGCCCAGGGACCCCCACGCTATGAGAAAGAAGTGAAGAGAGGTCGCCAGAATAGAGGATATGATGAAGAAGAAAGGGAAAGAAATGAGAAAAATGACAGAAATACTAACCAAGGCCGCAGGTAAATATAGTTTTAAAAATACATTTTTTTTTCATTTCCAGATTTCATCTTTCTTTTATCCTCCAGTGCAGCACAGGCCCTCAACCAACTGACGCCAGATCATTCTTTTATCTTTTGCTATTGCTTGAAGTTCATCCCTTTTCCTCCCCATTAATATCACTTCCTCCCCGTGTGGGTTCCGGGGCCCTGTTATAGGGAAAAAAGAATAGACCCACTGCCTACCCAAAAGCGTTCCGTAAGAGCCGACTAATTGGGAGCTTCCTTCCAAGTTGGAATGCATCTGCCTAAGAGGCAAGGAACCAGCAGTCTGCATACAAATTAGTCAGATCTGTAAAACGGATGCACATGCAACACTCAGGTTCTGGAACAGGACTGCAGTCCAGAAGTGGACGAACAACCAGAACTTTCCACTGGAATTTACAGCTGGTGAACGCGAAGAAGATGAAGAATATCATTTCACTGTTTAATTTCCTTGATTAATTTTTTTTTTTTTTTTAAATCTTCCTGTTATCTTTTAGGCCTGGGAGTTTCAGTACAAGTGAATTTGATATATTGCCTTCAGGATTTCTTGATTTGTATCCTTTCAGTCTCCTGCTAGCATCTTTTCTAAACCTCCCAATTAACTAGAGTTTGTTTCTTAACTCTGTTTTTTCTTTTTTACTTTCTCTGTTACCTCTTCAGTGTCGAGGGAGATATGAGGTGCTGTTCTGGCTGACTTGACTATAGACACACAGTGCTGTTGTAAAGTTGTTATCATGTTATCTTTCCATCCTGTTCTTGGTCTTCTCTCTGCTCTACGACCTCTTTTTGTGTTTGCTCTGTGTGGTACAGCATTTTGTTGACTTTGTAAATAATTTAGAATTGGTTCTATGCCAACTTTTTTTAATCTTACAATCTCATTTCTGATTTCATCCCTTCTGGTCACTCCTGCAGTCCTCAGACATAATTGTTTAAGTCATTCTTTATGTCTGTGTACTGTGCCAGGGCTATTGCCCAGCACTCCTGCATGGTTGATAGCACGTTGGACGTCGGGTGACAATCCCCATGCATGTCTGGCATCGGGTTCAAGCCAGGGGATGGCAGAAAAGTCACACACTCCCCAGACTAACAGTGTGCATGGCACCAAGGCTGAAGGGCCTCGATGCTCCAAACACTGAGCCAGATGAGCTATGCTCAAGTGCTTCTGGTTCAGAAGAAGAAAAATGCCAGGGCTGTTCAGCTAAGTTTACCCAGGGGCCACAGTTTTGAAATTGGAGATCATCACGGGCCAGAAATCCGAGCCCAGGTATAGAAAGATTATTAATACAAAATAACTGACAATGACCAGAGGGCCACTTGCTAGGCTTCCGCGGGCCGTATCTGTTTAAATAGCCCTGCTCTGTGCATTAGTTATGATTCGATGTTAAATATTCTAATTTGGTAGTTGATGTCTATTATCATGACATTGGAAAAATATCCATGAATGGATCAATACATTCCTTTGGGAATTCTCTTGAGGTATAAAAGAAGCATTATTGTTTGCCATTTGGCAACGCACTTGATTTTGAAAACAATCTGAGAAAAATCATGAATATAACATGGGATGCATTTTTTTAAAGTGAGGAGATCAGAGAAATAAGGTCATAGATTAATTTCTGTTTTCTGTCAGAGGCCCAAAAAAAAATAAAAAACCTAACGTGCGCAGTTTGTGGCGACAGCACTAGCCAAGCAGCAATGAATCTGCAGCCTCAAAGCTCCCCAGCCTACACCGCAAAAGTAATAAATACAAGTAGTAATTGCTGTTGCCAGATAGGGTTCTGAAGCTAAAGGTTATCTTATTTCTTCTACAGACAGCCAAAAGAGCGTGAAGAGCGCAGACACCGAAGCCGTGACTATGACGATGAAGAACCGCCACGGCGCCGTCATTACAACGCTGACGACGGCACGGACAGCCGAATTGAAATGGGTGACCCCAATATGGGAACATCTATCTAAGCTGACCTGATTTCAGGCAAAATGGATGCTATTGCCACATGAAAGAGTCCAACATATGTGGAATCTGGGTTCTCTGTAATAACTGCATGACTGCTTACCAGTAGTTAGGAGTTTATTTTAACAAGCCAATTTTCATGTTTGCAGAATTAATGGAGCAGAAGGATACAAATTGTGCAGATGTAATAAGGTATTTTTTAATATACAGCTGAAATCTGATTAACCATGTACAAGTGATAAATAGAATAGAACTGATCTCATTAAGTACTACGTGTCCTAAATAAAATAATGGCAGATGGAGTTTTAACAGGTTAACAATATGCAGGTGCAGAAAAGTTAGACTGACTGTTATCAGATTTATTGAATGTTCAAAATAGATAACAGGTTAATTTGTAAATACTATGCAAAATAAATAACTAAATAAATCCTAGCAGATTAACCACATTCGTATGTAAAATAAACCAGTTGGATCTTACTGCTTTTTATGTTTTATTACCTGGACAATTTTATATATGCAACACAATACCACATTTTTATTACTTTAAATGTATAAGTTAGTTCCTGTATTCTGAATAAAAATTATTTAAAAGTAACTTTTTAAAAATATAAATGACTTCCCAGCATGCATAAATATACACAGATTTTCAGAATAATGGAAATAATCTTCTTAGTATATAGTTTCCAAGATTCAGCTATTTTGAGTAAAATGTGAAAATGTTGATGTTTTGTTGATTACTTGAACATTCCAGTAATTTATAAATTATGTCTGTAAAATATTAACATCACTGCACACTAACTGAATTGAGGATTTCTTGAGAAGCAATAGTTGGTTAAATGTTTCAAAGATTTTATGTGATACCCAAAAAATGGCCAGGAATGATGGAAATATTTGACAGGTAAGCCATGTTGTTTTATACAGTTGTGACTTTGCCTTAAAGTACGGGTGTCTTTTTATTCTGCTTGGTGATATCCATGAGCTAACTGCTAGTTCTACAATATAATATATCTGGTAAAGTTGGCCAGATCATACACTGGCCATTCACCTACAAATATTATAGAGGTAGGTCAATACACAACATCCTAACCTGCACAGGACTGCAGGTTACAATTGGCAGGTGTTGCCCTCACAAGTGTCCCACTTATAGCTTCTTTGGAAGATGAATGGGATATCTAGGATTTGTCCTGTTGGTTCCATACACCATGAGATTCTGGAAGTCTCCTGAGTGATCAAATCTTCAGGTACCAGCTCAAAGGATGACAACAAAGAAGAAATTTACCTGATTCATCAGAAGTGTGCATGCATAAAGCATTTATTATACCACATGCATCCAAAAACAGTCCATAGTCAATCCAAGACACTTTAAAAATACTGAGCTTCAAATTAAATTGAACAAAATGATACTAATGAATGCGGCTAGACCAAACTGCATATAAGATGTTTTACAGCAGAACATCTGTGAGGAGAGCGAGGGGAGAATCAAGCAAGAGGTGAATAAATTGTGTATTTGAAACTTGCACAAAGGTGAACAAATCCGTCACACAAGCCACTCGAAGCAGAAGACAAATACAGAAAAACCACGACACTAGGTAACAATGGTAATGATAGGACAAAAGACAAAGGAAAGAAAAAGATGAATGAAAGGTACTGACAAACATCTAACTATATAAATAGCAACAACAACAAAATGTATATAGTTGCAACTCATTAGCTTAAAATGATTCAGTCATGTAGAATGATTGTAAAATAGGTGAAGAAAGTTAAGTGGTAAGGGTGCCTAAGATGGACCGTCAAAGAAAACTCAATAAGCAGATGGAAAACCAGTGTTTGGAACTAGTTTTTTTAACAGTGCATTTACAGGCTGGATGATGATCATCAGAGATGGAACATTGTGGTTGAAAAAAGAAAAATATCTAAAGTTACCCAATGAGAATGAAGATTGATTCATTGATTGTTTCCTTGAATTTCTTCTGCATTCACCAGCTGTGGACTCTGACAGAGAAAGTCTTGGCTGATCATCTGTGTCTGAACTGTACTTTAGGTCCAGGACTTGAAGTTGCATTCACACCCATTTTTCTGATCTGTCTTAATGTGCCCAGACTAGTGGCTCCTTGCTTCTGAGGCAGGTTCCAGGCCTCTGGTAAAAAACCTGGCTCTAAAGTAGGACGACCATGTGGAAATGTAGATAGGGTTTGACCTGCATAGGCCCTGGTCTTGGCAACCTGCTGCAGCTGGTGATGCACCTCACCATTCCTTCATTGAATTCAAGAACTATCGGACCCGAATTCTACTGTAAAACCACCAGTTAGTAAGCAGTCACGTCACCATGGCATTGGTCAATCCATGCTTTGCACTCAGGAGATTAGTACATTTATAGTGTGACTTATTTATTTCATGAGTGGTGTTTAAGTAATCCCTGGCGGTTGTCACTAAAGCTACAAAGTTCTTGCTTTTTGTGGTTCTCTCAGCCGTGGGCAAGCCTTTATGTAGAGAAAGACTGAACCGTATAGGAGGAAATTCAGTAAACAAAGTCTAAAATTTTCACCTGCAATATCACCATTGATTAGCGCTTCAATCTTTTATTTGAAACAACAGGAGATCTTGTCAGTGCACAAACCCAGAGTAACATCAGCAAGGACCCCCAGAGTATGCATTCAGAACCTCTGAATACTCTAAAATCTGTTGTTAGTCATCACCATGTAGCAGGTCCTTTGCAGAACGTCACTCTCATCGCAGTCTGCCTGAAAGAAACTCGGTCTCTCGCCAGCTCTCCCGCCTCATGTACTTTCATACTCAAGGAGTCACTTATATCCTGCACCCATCTTCGTGTCGGTCGGCCCCTGCCCCTTCTTCCTGGTACCCTGTCTTCAGCTATAATTTTTTCCAATCCGTCGTGGCGCTTGATATGACCAAAATATTTCGGCTTCAGAGACAGGATGCTGTTTATTAGCCAATCTTCTTTGATGTTCAGATCTTTCAAGATGTCAGCATTTCTCCTCTTTTTCGTCCAAGATATTCTGAGAATCTTTCTCTAGCATTTCAGCTCAAAAGCCCCAATTCATCTGTATGTTGCTACAGGGAAGATGCATGCACTCAAAATTCTAATTTTTAACTCCTTGCTGCTGCTTAACCATAGACTTTTTAGGCTGTTTACTGTTAGTAGTTTTACTTAATTTTAAAGTTGTGCCTCATGGTCTACTCACAGATAAGAACAAGAACCTATTAACAATATGAATTGTAAAAGAAACAGTTTTTGTCTGCCGTGATCATAATAGTGTTACTGCTATTGTTCTGTGAAACAAGGAGCATCTGCTAGCAAAAAGAAAGCCATTACAGTTGTTCACTTCAAACAGTGAACATCATAACTCAGGCGTCATCAGTTGAACATATTTTTAATGTGTAGTCAGTTATGTTGAGTCGTATCTTAAACCCATGACATTTATATAAAAAAAATTTTATATTGCATAATTACTATTTTATTATATTGTGTACATACTTTCTTGCGTATCATAAATGCTATGGGAACAGTGAATGTGTGGGTTATGTTCATTTTTGTACAGTTTTTATGAATTGTTACATTAGTTATTCAGTTTTCATTGTTCCTATAATGACAGCCTTCTTTTATCTTGTTTTAGTTAAATAAAACCATGTGTGGTTTTAGCATGCAGTGTTAAGGTTAATGTCCATTTTAAAACTTACTACAAATAAAATTAGATACTGGGATAAAAAAAAATTTTATAAACTGGGTTGTGCTTCAGTAAAACTGTTCATAGAGTAATATTGCTGAAACAGTTATTACACAAAGTAAATATTCATAACTGTATTAGTAATTTTGTTTTCTGTATGCATGTTTTTTGGAGTGACATATTTTAACTGACTGACTGTGCCTTACTTACTTGGCAATGTTATGGCTGCTGTTAGAGTTTGAAATTTGGGACAAGACAATTTTAATTGTAACCTATTTGATTATCTATCATACCCAAAAAAAATGTGTTGGCAATATCTCTTTGCCCTAAAATGTTTACAATGTTAAAAGATAAGTATTTAATTCTCCTAAATGAATGCCAAATCCAGAAAGAACAAAAGTGTTGCTGAAATGTATGATTTAAATGTTAAGAGGTTTTTTGGGCTAGTTTTTAGTTTTCTTTATTTGTTCTTGTTGTCCGATAATAAATATAATTTTCAGCTCTGCTGCCTTGTTGGTATTTGACGAGTTCACCAGAATTGTATGTTAAAAGAAAATTGGTCCGTTTATATATAATCTGTAGTCTCTTCTACTCAGCTATTTCTGTGTATTTTATTTGGTCTTCTCCCTGTGACTAATCAGTAGAGAAACAAGATTATTATGGCCTGGAGAGAAAGAGGCACCTGGGTGTAACCAGAGGCTCTGGCGGAGCCAGGCTTTTTTTTTTTTCAAAAATGACCTTGGCTCCCAGGTCCAGCCAACCGTGAGTGGGTACTGGGTACAGTCCCGGGAAGTAAAGGCAGCTGGCACGGTGCTAACTACATAGGCAAATTCAATAACATTAAGCCGAAAGAATTACTGAAGTTTAAATTTCACTAAAAAATTGTATATTTCTTTTACCTTATTTATCATGTGCCCCAGCCTCCCTATTATGTGTATTTGACCTGCATCTGTTAGTATATGAGAGAGTAATTTTGTGTTTCGAAATTTTGTTAGAGAACAGTCTCCATTTGTCAGTTTGTTTCATATGTTCCATCTGATGTGTAGATGTATACATAATTCAAAATTATGTGTGTTTGGCCTACGTCTATCAGTGTATCAGATAGTAATTTTCAATTTCCCAATTATTTTTAGAGAGAAGTTTCCGATTTATCAGTTTGTTTTATATTTTTTACATCTGTCAGTTTGTTCCGAAAGTAATTTTCCATTTGTATGCTTGTTTCAGAGAGTACTTTCCCTTGTGAATATATCTATCATTTCTTTTTTTGAAAGAGAATTTTCCCCATATATCTTTGTATTAGAGAGTTTACTCTCATCAAT